TCCTCCTCCCTCCTCCCATTTCTACAGGCGCGCCTCCTCTCCCCTCCGCTCCCCCTCCCCCTTCGCTTCCCCTCCACTCCCCTCCCCTCCCCCTTGCTAGAGGAGCACTCGGAAGCGGTGGCTTGGTTCTGGAGGCTGTGCAGCAGCAGCCGGCAAAGGTGGCTGAGTGGCTGGGCTGCTGATGGGAGCCAGGGAGCGATGGCTGCATGCTCCTGCTGCCGGGACAGAGGCTGCCATGGAAATTCTGTTCATCATTCGCTTCTGCTGTAACTGCACCTATGGTAACCCAGATCCCCTCTCATGGGAGATGGTATATCTTCCCACCTCTGGGGGCTAGCCGGAGTGGGCTTAAATGTGGCCATACAGGTTTGCGGGGGAGGGGAGCAGCAGGGAAGGGAGGGGGAGCAAGTGGCTGGATCTGCATTTACCCCGTTCTGGTCAGCTTCCAGCCTGGAGTTGAAGTCTGGGGGCCACTCAGGGCAGCGTGTCTTAGAAATGGAAGGACCAGGCTAGATGGGTCCTGGTACCCACGGAGGATCTGTGCAGAATTGGTGGCTTAGCTTGAGAGGCTGTGGGCAACTTCCTGGAGAGGCTGTTAAGGACTGTAGTGACAAGGCCTTACCTGCAGGCATGGCAGCCTGGGGCTGGAGAGGGGTCAGCAAGGGCCAGTCAGAGTGACAGGCGGTCTGGACAGCAGTGCTTGGGACCGGGAGGGTGCCAGTCCCTGCTGGAGGGCGAAGTTGGGAGTTTCTTTGTTTCCCCGAGGATGAGCGGCTAGGGTATTGTGTGCTCAGAGTGCACATGCTGTCTTGGAGACCGTCTCTCCTCTCAGTACGGTGGCGGTGGTGAGAACTGGATGCGCTTGGGAGAGCAGGAAGGAATTGGGCTGCTCTGAGGGGGATTGTTTCTAACCACGGGAGATCCTTGAGCTGAGGTCTCAGCATAGCGCAGAAGGTGGCAGGGAATGGTTGTGGGAGGGGGGCGTGGCAGTCTGCTGCTTCGTGAAGGTCACACACCCACCGTGCAGTGGAAAGGACCAGAGCATACCTTTTGCAGCTACCTCAGCAAGGGGGTCCTGGGACAGGCACAGGCTGTCAGCCAGGCTGTCACTCAAAGGAGGCTGAAGTAGGCCTTGGCAAGGGGATGACTAGAAGCCTGTGGACACTGCTCTCTGAGGCAAGAAGTGTCGTCTTAGGGATGACCCAAGCTGCCTCTGGCAGGGATGTGGGGTCAACTGTTGCCTCTGGGCGCTTGTGTGTTGGAGTGGCAGGCAGCTGGCCCTATCTCTTCCTTTTAGGCCCCGTCTGTTCCCTCCCACAAGGCGTTTTGTCTTTGCACCCTTGGCAGTCACTTTGCTTTTTCACATCTCCCTGGTAACCTGGAGATTTTTTGTCAAAGGCTGAACGGAGGAGGGCGGCAGTTTGCTGGAAGGAAAGATGGGGTTCTTTGGGCTCTTTCCCTGAGGCCATGGTTGCCCCCTCGCCTTCTCAGGCTGTCCCATGTTAAAGACTGCTCACAATGGAGGTAACCCCTGAGGTCAGCTGTGGGAGCTCTAGTCACTGGGCAGAAGCTGCCCTGTGCCCTGCCCCTCAGCTCGGATTCTGACAGGCTGGGGTCAAGAGGGAAGAGCTGGACTTGAAATAGCCTTTTCCAAGGTCAGAGGGGAAATGCTGTTTTGGTCTGGCCTAGGAGTTGGTCGGGTCTCAACCCTGCCTCCCTAAAAAGGAAAGGGTCTGCCCTTTGCTTCCTCTTCCCCCCCCCAAAAGGAAGCTTAATCTTAGTGGAACAGGTCTGGGACCTGGATTTCAGGGGTTTTTTGGTCCCTGTGGTGCTTTCTTTGAAGTCAGCTTCAATGTGAGGAATGGCGAGTGATTGAGCTTTGCTGACCACACTGTGTAGAATCTTCTCAGCCCCTCCCAGGGATGCTGGTTCTGGGGGGGTCCATGGAGACTGTGCCACTTGGGGCTCACTCTGTAGTTATCTGCCTTAATGGTTATTTGCTGAGCACCCCCTCTGCAGGGCTTCATGATGTTGGGGATGCAAAGGGAAGTCATGTGTGACCCAGGCCCCTAAAAAGGGGGCTCCCCTTGGCAACAAGAGAGGCCAGCTCACCCAGTCCATCCTGGTGAATCTTTCCAAGAGTCCTCCTGAGGGTCACTGAGCTTTTGCAGGTGCTGCCCTCCCTGAGGGAAGAAAAAAAAAAAGGAGCATGGGTAGACCTAATTTCAAAATCCAACTACCACTTACAGCAAGTTATATAATTTCTCTGTGCCTTAGAGAAGTTTTCTCATCTGTGAAATGGGGCTCGTGACAGTTGCTTCCCATTTATAATCAAAGGAAATAATGCCTGTAAAACAGTGCCCTTGTAAAGTAGACCCAGAGTCAGTACCCGGCAAACTAGAGAGAGGCCAGCTTGCTTGAGTCAGTGGACTGACTTAGGCACTGTGGGTTTTGTTTGCAAAAGTTCTGGTCAGGGAAGACTTCCCGGAGGAGGGGGAGAGACAGGCGATGCCACGTGGTGATGGGTGTCTGCCCTGGGAACAGGAACAGCATGGTAAGGAGTGAGGCGCGTGGGAGAAGCAGGGGCAGGAAACAGGCCGCCTGCTGGAGCCATGGAACAGATGGAGGGGGCAAGGTGGGCTCTTGGCCCTGCATTCTCAGGGGAAGCACACGTGCATGGTCTGTGGGCAGCACAAACATCAGGTCGCCCTTCGTCCCCCGGTTCCTTGCATATCTGACCCCAGGGCCCTCTCCCCTCACTTCCTCCCAGCTGCCCTCCCCACACCCGGGGCTGAGGCGCAGGACTCAGTCCACAGCCCCAATCAGTAGACCCTTGAGGTGACTGCAGGCATATTAATAACGCCTCTGAAACCCAACCCTCCATGTGTGCAGACCTCTTCCTCCTGGGACCCGAGAGGGGGACGGAGGGAGCTGACACTGCAGTATCAGCTTTCCCTGAGCTGGAACCCGAGGGCCCAGCCTGGCAGGTGTCTGCTGAACTCGCACTTTCTCGGGACTCTGGGGTTCTCGGGGTGTGGTTTCCCCCTCCGATGAGTTAAGCCACAGGTGGACACTCGAAACAGCCTCAGAACTGGGTCCTCCTGGGCTGATAGCTGGCCTCTACCCTCGCCGGCCTAGGATACCCCAAGCCTGCGCCTGTCCATTCTGGCTCCCGTAGCCCATGGAGAGGGAGGGCTCCAAATAAGTCATGGGGGGTGTGTTCGCAGAAATCGGTGCTTTTCAATCATTCCTACATACCAGAATCAGCAAAGGAGCTTTTTAAAAATGCTGGTTCCCAGGTTTCACCCAGCAGACCTTCAGATTTAGTTGAGGCGAGGAGAGGGAGGCAGGCAGGCAGCTGTATCTTTTAAGAGCTCCCTCAGGGTTTTTAATGGGCAGCCAAGCAAAGACTGCAGATAAGCCTCATGGCACAGCTCTGAGGCTGCGCCTTCTCCACAGCCCGCAGATGGTTCCCAACGTGTCTGCTTAGCAATGCGTGGGGCTCTGGGGCTGTGGGGGCCTCTTGGGTTTGGGAGCGAGCTAGGGCAGGAGAGGCAGCTCTGAGACCTGTTGCAACCCGGTCCTATGGGACACCCTCTCAGACCAGCATCCTGCCTCTTATTGCTCCTGTGGCAGGAGGAGAGAGGTCACGACCCCCATGGTCAGCGGCATCCAAGTGCAGGACTGAGATTGAACCACCCATGTTGGAAGAGGCAGGACACAGCTGCTTATAGGCAGCTTTGTATGGAAGTGTTCGGTGGGCCAGCTGCCGCTTCCACCTGTCCCTGCTGAATCCCAGCAATCCTCCTCTGCTGTCCTGGTCACCAAGGGGTGTGGAGGACGGGGGCCATGCTGAGCTTGCATTTTCCCAGCCTCTTCAGGGCTCCCAGAGGCCCCACCTGAATTCCTTCAGGAAATCTTTGTCCCCTCAGCTCTCACTTGCTTTGGAGCAGAGCTTTTCTGTGGAGAGCCAGCCTGCCTCCCTCGGCCTGTCCTATTTTGTGGGTTTGAGGGCATGTAGAGGGGTCTTCTCATGGAGATGAGGCTGACTCGATGGGTCAGAATGAAGCCTGCCATTCCCCGCTGGAGGTGCCAGGCCTTGGGCCAAAAGAGTAGGAGCGTGATCGGGCCTGGGGGAGCTGCCCTCCCTGGTAAAACAGCGTGTCTCCTTGCCACATTCTGGGGTCCCAGGGGGTGACCCAGACTGTGCTGGAGCTCTGCAGGGTAAAGCTAGGCGTAGCTGTGTGATTCAGGGTTAGGGGTACAGAGGAGCTTCTGCGTCTGCTCTGATCAGGTCAGGCCAGGACAGGCCTGGGGACAGCCCTGGAAGAAATCATGTCTGGTGGGTGACAAGCTTGGAGGCAGGTGGGAGGAGGCCCGGGTTGTCAGGGCTGCGTGTGCGCCTGCTTATGCTGTCTGGCCTGTCCTGGGGTGAGAACGGAGGTGCAGGTTGCTGTGGAACCCGCTTGTGGGTGGGTGTCCGTGCAGGGAAGTGAAGAGAGTCGGGGGACAAGGCTGGTCTCGAAGGTCTGAAGCTGCTCCTGCATCTCATCTGTCCTGTCTCCTCCCTGCCTTCCCCAACAGCTCTGCTCTACAAGCCCATTGACCGCGTCACCAGAAGTACCCTGGTCCTACATGTGAGTGTCAGCCCCCTGAATGTCCAGGGACAGGGCAGGAGGTCTGTGGGAGACTGAGCCCAGAGTGGGCAGGTGCTGGAATCACTGAGAACAGCCCATTAGGGGAACCGGGCAGAAGGTCCCTGGGCCCCATCTGTGCCTGCCTGGTCTGTAGTAACCATTCCAAGGGGACCATGGCCTAAATATAGCAGGGCTACTAAGCTTGACATTTGGCCAAATGCTCCCTAGGAGGCATGCACTTCCTGCTTCCCCGTCCCTTGTCTAATGGTCTCCAGTGTCCTTGGAGCAGCTGTGGGTTGGTTAGAGGAGTGTCTCTCCCAGCTGCTTGGTGAGATGAGACTCCACCTGGCTCTGTCCCACCCCAGCAGGGAGGGTAATGACTGTAGCAGAAATAAAGGGGCACCACTGCCCTCACTCCTGCTCTGCTGACCCTGAATTTTAGTTCAGATTTTGCAGGCGTGACCAGTTGAGAGTATAGATCCCCCTCCCAATTCTTATAGTGAGAACTGAGTGCTCCCCACTGTCTTCTCATTGAGCCCCAGAACGACTCCCCTCAACTCACCACCCCAACCCTTCCCAGGACCTGCTGAAGCACACACCTGTGGACCACCCAGACTACCCGCTGCTGCAGGACGCCCTCCGCATCTCTCAGAACTTCCTGTCCAGCATCAACGAGGACATTGACCCCCGCCGGACTGCGGTCACAACCCCCAAGGGGGAGGTGAGTTCAGGACCCAGCACAGACTTACCCGCCCCCCCAGGCTGAAGAGGGTACAGCGTACTAGATCGACCGTCCCCGCTCTACTCCACACACAGGCACCACTGCACTGTGCCTCATCAGCCCTGATCCCTCATGCCCAGCCTAGGAGAGGCCTTCAGGCCCTGCGTTGACAGCTTTAAGTCCAGTGTCTCGTCCATCTTCATAACAGTTCACTGAGGCAGAAGAGGAAACTGAGGCCTGGAGAGTCTCTCCAGGTCTGGCACAAGGTCTCTTGGTCATAAGTGTCAGAACTGGATTCTTTGGCTGGGGTTATCTGTCTGCAAGCCCCATGCACTGTCCCCCGCACCAGGGACTCAGGGGGCTCTGCCTGTCTCATTCTTGAGTGCAAACAACCCCCTCTGGGCAGTATGATGCCCTCAGGATCCCCTGGAACATAATGGCTGTCTGAGGGAGCTCTGAGCTGCCCCTGATCAACCTGTGTGAGCAGCTGGAAGGAGCTAGGGAGTGAGCCCCACAACAGAAGAGGCTGGTAGGAGAGGTGGCTGAAGTGGCCACGCTTCTGGAATGTCCCAGGCGGGCCCCTAGATATGGTACAGCAGCTCCTGTTCCCTGGAGGCCCTTCTTGGTGGACAGGTGGGGGTGCCTCAGTGAAGGGAAGCAATTTGAGGAATCAGAGGGACAGTTACCTGCGTGGGTCAGCAGCCTGGCCCACATAACAGGGCTTCCTGTCCAAGAGAGCGAATTGAGTGGTGTTTAAGCATGCAGGCGGGCTGGGTTTATGCTCCTCTGTTGCCTTTACGAGTCTCCAGTGTCACCTGGGGAGGGAAGTAATGAGGGACAGGGTCTGGGGGGTGACTGATGGGCACAGAGAGCGGATGTCCCTGTGTGCAGCTCCCAGCCCTGGAATGTTACTAATTTGCAAACCCTGGAATGTTACTAGTGTGTTTGACTCTGGGATATCTGAGAGATTTCCAGAGGGCTTACAGCACTATCAGTTTCAGATCATTTTAACTGTATACATTCAATATGCTCACCTACATATTGTAGTGTATGTAAGTCACATGAGGTATAATAACACACAAGGAAGGATGGGACAGATCGTGACAGGGAGGCTGCTGCCTCTGAGGGTGACAGGGAGGAAATTCTGGAGGTTTTGCATGGAGCAGTGTTCTTGACCACCCAGGTTAGAGATGGCTGCAGGTTCCCCAGGACATAGATACAGCCCCACAGAGGGTAGCTCAGAGCCTCCCATACTCCTGGGAGTTGTTGAAGGATCCTTTCAAGAGGTAGAGTAGCATCAGCAGGCCTCGGTGGGTCTGCTAGATCAACTTCTTAGGGTTAGGGGGAGGTTATAGGGCAGGGATTGGGGTGGGGAGTGTTTATGCCCCAGGATAGAGGAACTGAGTCACCCTGAACTAGGGTCCATCCAGGTGGGAGCTGTTGAGAGCTGTGGAAATGTGTAAAGCTACCATTTGTTGATCACATAGGATGGGCTGTCTTTCATACACCATCTCGATGACTCCTTCCTTATGGGCAGGCATTATCCCCATTTTACGGATGGTAAAACTGAGACATAGAGAGGTCAGGGAACTTGCCCAAGATCACAGCTGGAAAGTGGCAGAATCTGGATTCAAGCCCGTGTCCATGTGACCGAAAGCCAGTGCTGTTAGTCACCAGGCATTATGGCCCTCCCTGCAGCCCACCCCCCAGTGCAGGCTGGGCCCTGGGCTGCCTGGCCCTGAGCAAGCGGGGTGGGTGTGCCATCTCCCTCAGACGCGGCAGCTGGTGAAGGACGGCTTCCTGGTGGAAGTGTCAGAGGGTTCCCGGAAGCTGCGGCACGTCTTCCTCTTTACAGATGTCCTACTGTGCGCCAAGCTAAAGAAGACATCCGCAGGGTGAGTGTGCGTGAGTGCCAGGGTCAAGGTGAAGGGGAACTAGATCCTGCCTCCTGTGGAGTTCCTCAGCAACCTGGGGCGATCTGCATTTCTATTCCTTTTTAAAAACATATTAATTAATTTTATTTTGCTACATAGCCTTTTTTCCAAAAATAAATAATCATGTTTTTAATTATAAAGATAATATAACCAAATTATAGACCCAAAAACCCATCACCCACCCAAACATAAGCATCAGTCTCCTGCTGCTATATTTCCTTCCAGTTATTTTTTTTAATGTTCTTATGTTTTTTTCATATACTTGTAATCAGAGTGAATAACCAATTTGGGGCTCTGCTTTTTCCATTTCACGTCATAAGCACTTTCCCTGTGGCTGCCTAATTTTCATAATCATCATTTTACTTTCCCGCATGATATTACAAGTGGATATGCCGTAATTTACTTAAGATTCTCCTTTTATTAGGCATCTCTACATTTTTTTTTTTTTTTGCTTACTGCAAGTCAGTGAATATTCATTAAAGCTGCTGCTATCATTTATTGAGTGCTTCTGCCATGCCAGGTGCCATGACAAATGCTTTGAAAAGATTCTTTTTTTTTTTTTTTTTAAGATTTTTATTGGGGAATTTGGGGATGGGAACAGCACTGGGGAATTAGGGGAAGGGGAACAGACAAGTTGCTGTCATTTTGTTCTTCAGTCTAGTTGTGGAGGACGTTGCTTCACTGGCCCACGTTGGCACCATCATTGCGTTCTTCCCGGGCGAGGCAGATCAGTCGCCGGCTTCTGGATGGCCGCTCACGGCGGCTTGAGGGCCGCTCACGCTGGCTGCTGGCTACACATGGTAGCCCATGGCAACCCACTGCAGCAGGGGCTGCAGCCTATGCCGTCGCTGGCGACTCACGGCAACCCAGCTCCAGGTTGAGCTGTTGTTCAGCATCTTAGCTGTAGAGGGCAGCGTCACTGGCCCTCATATGTGGGATCCAAACTGGGGCCCGCTGGCGACCCAAGCCAGTTCTTAACCAATGCGCTACTCGGCCGGCCCTGAATATATTATTTCTAATCTTCCCAACAGCTCTATATAAAGTAGGTATTATTATTGTCATCTCACAGATGAGACAAAAGACTTAGAAAAGTTCAATCAATTGCCCAAGGTCGCACACCTAGAAGTGGAGGAGATGGGATTTGAACCTTAATCTGACTTGGAAACGTCTTTCCACTGCCATCTCTATATTTAATGATATGAGTCTGCTCTGTGCCATGAGCAGAAAAGGTTATTCAGTATGCATTCCACATTCTTCCACCTACTGTGTGCCTAGAACACTAACTTACAGTCCAGGGTAAACAAGCTCTATGTTCACTGCAGCACTAAAGGACCAGGATGAGAGGAGCAAACCTGGGTCCTGGGGGAAGTGAGGTTATCATGAGCTTCAATAAAGGGGATTAGATTTGAGATAATTCTAAAGCAGAGATAGCAATTATAAGCAAGCATACCAATGCCTTCAGTGCTTTGCCCGGGGAAGACATTACTAATCAACCACAGCACTATTTCCCCCACTAGGCTTGAATGTGGCTTTGTAATCCTCAACCTAGTACTCCATCTGACCTCTGTTGATCAGAGTTGGCCTTCAAAATAACACCTGTATTCTGTCTCTAGCCTAAAGGATAATAAATATGAGCTAAATATAGATAGGCTGGAAGGGAGGGGAGAGTATGGGATGGGGAATAGGCAAGTGTGATCACACTCTTGCTCCTCTAGAGGTTTGGGATTTTTATTTTTTTTTTAATTAATTTATTTTTTTAAGCTGAGCCATCCTGCCACCTGTCAGCAGCTCAGCGGCTGCTCAGCTCAGGCCGAGAATTGAACTGCTGTTGCTCAGAGCTCAAACTCTTGAGCGAGCTCTTAACCAACTGAGCCACTCGGCCGGCCCAAGGTTTGGGATTTTTAAAAACGCCAGTCACACAGGACCAGAAGACTGACAAGGCCAAGGTCCGGAATCCTCGCGGCCATTATTCCACGTGTGTGTTTCCTGATGCGGCGGGCTCCTCGAGGACAAGGGATCATTCTTATCTGTGACCCGTTCTCAGTAAAATGTTTTAGGTGGTTTTCTTGGTTTAGCAGTTCAGGCTTAAAGAGCCAAGTTCCTTTTGGCTCATGTCTCCCTCTGGCTTGTTTGCAGAAAGCACCAGCAATATGACTGCAAATGGTACATCCCCCTGGCCGACCTCGTGTTTCCGTCTCCCGAGGAGTCGGAGGCCAGTCCCCATGTGCACCCCTTCCCAGACCATGAGCTAGAGGACATGAAAATGAAGATCTCTGCCCTCAAGAGTGAAATCCAGAAGGAGGTGAGCTGAGCCTGGCATCTGAGCTGGGATAGCGAAATTGGCCGTTTTTGAACCAGGGGCCCTTTGAACCAGGTGTAGCAGAGAGGTGGAGGAAGAGGAAGTTGTAGGGGCAGGGAGCCTGATAAGGAGGGTTATGCTTCGATCATAACCATGCTTAGGGAAGGACTTTGACCATGGCCCATTAGCACTGAGCAGATGGAGGGTGAGGAAAGGAGTCAGTGCTCAGAATTTAGTGGGGTTAATTATAGGAAATTTGTTGGAGAACAGTATGTGTCAAACACTGCAGAAAAGGGAAGCCAGAAAAGAAAGCCTTCTTAAGGAAAAGTGGGGTGTGTCCACGAGAGGACCTGGGAGGCCTCTCAGAAACTGACAGATCAAGTAGGCCAATAATTAAGGAGAGAGGGGCCTTGAATATGCACTTGATCTAAAAATGCACAGAAGTTTGTGCCTTGAGAGAGAATTGAGATTCTTGTCAAACACACGTGAAACGTTCACAAGCAAACATTAAACATGCATTAGGCTGCAAAGGCAATCTCTTTTTTTTTTTTTAATTTGATAACATACTAGTCATGTTCACAGGCCACAGTGCAGTAAAAATTAAAAATCAACAACTAGAATATAAAGTCTATGCCTGGGAAGTTAAAACTTTCAGGGTAAAGAGGAACTCAAAATGAAAACTGCAGACTGTTTGGAACTGCATGAAAATGAGAGCCCTACATATCAAAACCTATGGGATATAGCCAAAGGGCTATTTAGAAGAAAATGTATAGTCTTAAATCCATATATTTGAAAACAGTGGCTAGAGGAAAGCACGCAGGAAACCTTCCCCATGAATGACGGGAAGGGCATGGAGGGGCTTGGTTGGTTGGCCTGGTCTCTTCCTCAAGCATCCAGGCTTAGCGTAGGCCTCACCTCCCCTGGGGAGCCTTCCCTGATGTCCACTCACCACAGTCTGGGTGGGTGCTCTGCTTCCTGGTTCCTGATGTTTGCTGCCTTGCTTTATTGCTACTGAATTATAATTGCACGGTCAGCTTTCTCCTTTCTCCACTAGGATTTGAACTCTAGTGAGGGGCAGTTTTATTTAGTTCTGTGTCTCTAGCACTTGGCACGTAATACTTAGGAGCTTTGTAAAGAATTGTTGAGGAATACATGACCAGAAGGCCTCTAAGGATCCTTTCAATTTAGACATCTCTCCTTGAACTAGGGAGAGGAAGATCACAGTAATAACCCCAGGGTGTTTGGGACTGAGGATCTGACTGCGGGTGTACCCGCCCAGAGGGAGCAACCTGACCAGCGCAGGTGTCCTCCTCTTGAATGGCTGGGCCTCAGTGGAGCCTGTTTCCTCACCTGGCACTGCCCAGTATCCCCACCCCAAGGACTTCCTGCATGCATGTTCTTTACCTGGTCCTGGGAGCCAGCATGCTTTGTGCCCTGCCTCCTGCCCCAGGTGTGCAGACATGGCCTTCTGTTCAGTCAAATCAGTGCTCACTGAACTCCACTGGCTGCTGGCTCCAGGAGTGGACCAGATGCCCCATGGAGTTCCTTGTCCGGTGGGGAAGGCAGACAGGCAATTACTGTCCACAGCGTGTGACACACATGATGAGAATCACTGGAGAGGTATAACAGTGTCATTCTCCGAATCTCAGGAGAAGCAGTGATTTACTTTATTAATAACATTTTTTTTTAAAACTTAGAATTTTGTTTCTAATCACCAGTGTAACACTGGCTTGTTATGATAAGTAAAGCTCACAATACTGAAGTGTATAGAGTAAAACTGATCATCACCCACCCCACTGTCAACAGTTTGAGGTGTTTGTGTTTTTTTAAGATTTTATTGGAGAGTTGGGGAATTGGGGAAGGGGAACATTGTGTTTTTCCAGGACCCATCAGCTCCAAGTCAAGTTGTTGTCCTTTAATCTTAGTTATGGAGGGTGCAAGCTCAGCTCCAAGTCCAGCGGCCACTTTCAATCTAGTTGCAGGGGTGGAGGGGCAGGGGCGCAGCCCACCATCCCATGCAGGAGTCAAACCAGCAATCTTGTTGCTCACTGAGCTATGCAGCCGCCCACTCAAGGTGCCATGTTCAATCTTAGTTCCGGGGAGATGGGGGAGGTAGGTGGGTGGGAGATGGGTGGGGGCAGGGCATGGGCGCAGGTGCAGCCCACCATCCCGTGCAGGAGGCGGGAGTTGAACCAGCAACCTTGTTGTTAAGAGCACGCATTCTTACCAGCTCAGCAGCAGCTCCGCTCGGGCGCAGCTCACTGGCCCATGTGGGAATCAAACCAGCAACCCTGTTGCTCAGAGCTCTCGCTCTTAACCAACTGAGCCACTTGGCCGGTCCAGGTGTATTCTTCTAGACCAGGGGTGTCAAACTGGCAGCCCGCGGGCCGCATGCAGCCCTCGAGGTAATTTTTTTGTGGCCCGCGATGCTCTGAAATAAAATGAAAATAGAAAAAATTGTTATGAAGAAAATAGCGCTTAGGAGAGATCGAGGCAATACTGTACACACAATTCCCTCGTTAGCCCTTTAACTACTGAAGACGAGTATACACGTGGCCCAGTGCCTTTCCTGGGGGCCTGTGGGCGTGTATAAACGCGCTGACTCATTTCCGGCGATGTTTGGAAGCGATATGTGTGCCACTCTCAGTGTCACGTAATGTAAACAGATCCCAATAGCGAAAAGGTTAAAAAGAGCTCTCGGGTACAAAAAGAATTATTTTAGTTTTATAAATACATTAAGTAAAATAAATGTTTAAATAAAAGCAATTATATAGTGTTTTAATTATCCTATCCATATTCCTGAATCCTCATTTCAGAATATAAATTTAACAAAATTTGTAAATGTGATGTGGCCTGCGTGAATCTTGCTTGTTGCACCAAATGGCCTGTGTTTTAATTGAGTTTGACACCCCTGTTCTAGACCAAGGATCGACAAACTGCGGCTCGTGAGCCACATGCGGCTCTTTGGGTACGTTCCATCTCAAAAGTTTGCCGACACCTGGAAGAGCCAATCCTGTCCCTCACAACAATTTAAAAATTATTCGAGAGCCATAATATATTTTTACAAATAAGGAAAATTTTAAGTAATATTATAAATGAAACTATGATAGTTTTATTTTCATTTTCAATTTTACTTCAGAGCCACATGTACGTACCCAAAGAGCCGCATGTGGCTCGCAAGCCGCAGTTTGCCAACCCCTGGCGGCTCTTCTGTCTCAAAAGTTTGCCAACCCCTGTTCTAGACTCTTCTTTGCTAATACTGGCACGCGCATGCGTGTGTGTATGTCAGTGAGATGAGACTACACGTGCTGTTTTGCAATTTAAGCTTTTCACTGAACAGTGCACCTTAGAGCTCTTTGGAGCTGTCAGATTCTTTTATACAGCTGCATCCTATTCTGTTGCTTGACTGCACAGCAATGGATGTGGGTATTTAGATTGTTTCTGGTTCTTGACTCTTAACAGGCAAGTCTACAGTAAACATCACCGCACTCATATTTCTTCCCTCTGGTAGATTCCCTACAAGTGAGCTGTCTGGGAAAAATGGCTCATGCATTTCATTGCCAGGTTTACCTCTGTAAAGGTCGTATCCAGTTATGTTCCCACCAGCGGTGTGTGAGAGTCCCTGATCCCCCACCCTGTCACAACACTGGCCGTAAGCCATTGTTACAACTTTGCCAGTCTAGTGGGTAAAAAAATGCTGCCGAAATGAATTCCAGCTCTGGAGTTTAAGGATGGTGTTGGAACGGAGACTTAAGCATCATGGCAGTTAATAAAAGAAAGGGAAGGCGTCCTTTATAAAATAGAAGCTTGGAAACTTGGAGAAGGGGACACCAACTGAGAGGGAATGGCTTGTTAGAGAACAGGGAATGACACCAGGAGGCTGAGGGAGGGTGCAGGGTAGGGTGGGGTGGGATGGCAGGCCTGGAGTGGAGGTTTGGATCCCGCCTTGGGAGGCCCCGTGCGCCAGGCCAGGAGTTGGAGCTTTTAAGCAGGGTGTCTTGATGGCATCCAGGATTTAATTTATAGGGGTGACTGAGTGATGACATGCAGAGTCTAATGCCCCCGAAAGAAGGTTTTATTACTTATAGTCTCCAAGAGAAGGGGACACGCCACAACGCGTAGGGCCACGTGGGAAAGCCAGGTTTGGTCAGGAGGCAGAAGGAGCGTGGGAAAGTGTGGCCCAGACCTTGGACTGTGTTTTCCAAGAAATAGGAAAGCAGGTCAGGGGAACAGCTTAGGACTGGCCAGTGTGGACAGTGGTGGGCTCTGGGCTATAGAGGCTGTCCCTAGGGGTCTGGCAACTAGCCCTGGGTGACTTAGGGTAAGGGAATGGTGTGTCAGAGGTAGGTAAGGGCTGTGGTTGGGGATATGGCCTCAGGATCGGTTGGTTCGCATATGAAAGGGACGCTCACAGGAGTCATTTACTATGTTTAGAATTCGCATGCTGTGGGAGGGGCCGTTTTCTCCCTGGCCAGCCAGGCCCCCCTCCCCAAGATATCAAAGCATCATAAAAATAGACAAAGAAAAAAAAACAAAACAAAACACTGTTAACACACAGAGGAAAGTTGTGCTTAGAGCCGCTGGGCGATAGTGGCGTCTGAGTGTGAGGGAAACCATCTGTGCACTCCATCCCCTGCAGAAAGCCAACAAAGGACAGAGCCGAGCCATTGAGCGCCTGAAAAAGAAGATGTTTGAGAATGAGTTCTTGCTGCTGCTCAATTCCCCCACAATCCCGTTTCGGATCCACAATCGGAATGGAAAGGTCAGGAAGGGTGGGGACGGGAGAAAGACAGCCCCAATCCTCTGTCCAGGGCTGCCCACCCTCTTATGGCTCCTGGCCACGATCTGTGGAAATCAGGAACTCAGGCCCCCAATTCCCACGGAGGCTGCCATGGCGCCAGCCCTGCATTCCTTCTCCCCATGGGTGTGGAGCCAGTGCCCTCTGCTGGTCACCACTGGCACTGCCACTCCTGTCACTGGGCTTTCCAGGAAGGAGGCCCTCCTCCCAGCTGCCTCCTCCTCCAAGCGTAGGGGTGCCTGGGTAAGAAGCAGCTTTACTGGAGCCCCAGAATCTAGGAATGTGCTTGGCCTTACCATGGTCACTCCACTGAATTGTCATCTCCTCTCTTCAGAGCTACCTGTTCCTATTGTCCTCGGACTATGAGAGGTCAGAGTGGAGAGAAGCAATTCAGAAACTACAGAAGAAGGGTAAAGTCCTGACCCACTCTACACTGCCCTCATAGGGCCCGCAGCAAGCATATAGGCCTTTTGTATTTCCAAGCACTGTCCTATCCAATATCTCCTCTTCCCCCCTCAGTCACTCTATAAAGTGCCAGGGCAGGTGGCATGTCATTACTGATCAATTGAGGCCCAAAGAATTTAAGTGGTTTGCTTAAAGCATATATTAAATTAGCAATAGGATTGGACCCAGAGCCCAGGTTTGCCTGTCTCCCCATCACTTCTCCTCCCCCACCTCTCTCTCTCTCTCTCTCTCTCTTGCTCTCACTCTCTCATACACACGTACATGAGTGCCTTCAATTAGATTCTCCCATTCTTACCCCTGTGACAGCACCCGTGGTTGTCCCCATGTGAGTGTTCACAGGTCTTTCCCTCCCTGCCAATGACCAACTCTGCCCCTAGAGCTAAGCCTTCCCCCCCTGCAATAACCCCCAAAGAAGAGCAGCAGGTCCTAGTGGACCTGTGGTGACATCCTCTTGGCTCCTTCTGCAGATCTCCAGGCCTTCGTCCTGAGTTCAGTGGAGCTGCAGGTGCTCACGGGATCCTGTTTCAAACTTAGGACTGTACACAACATTCCTGTCACCAGCAATAAAGACGGTAAGATCTGAAACCCAGGGTTGCCCAGTGAGCAGGTCCAATCCCCCAGGCTATTGCTGGGGCCTTCCACAAGGACGTAGCCAGACACTTAGCTGCAGATGTCTTGATCTCTGCTCAGCTGGGCTTGGATGACTCATTGCCAGGCATACAGAGTGCTTGAAATGTCCATTTTCCAGATGGCCCCAACCCTTCCCTGGCCCCCGCTGGCACCCTGGTGCACTGGGATTGTGTTAATATGTTCATGAGGTAGTCAGATATGGAAACAAAAGACTGAAACATGGTCGGGGCGGGAAGGGGAGATGGATTAGAATAGTGTATGAGAAATAAAGCCAGACGTTTCCAGGGACCAGATCTTGGAAGGCTTTGAATGCCAAGCAAGGGAGTTTGTTGTTCACGCAAGGGAGACTGTGGGAGGTTTCTGAGCAGGGCAGAGCTGTGATCGGGGCTGGTAACTGGCCTAGAAATGGGAGGAATCTGGCTGCCCGTGGGTGCTAGGAAGGGGTTTTGAAGGCACCCTCTCCACATATGCAGGTCATCTACCCGCTGTGTCCCGAAGAGGAGGCAGAGCTGGGCCTTCTCTTCCATTGGCACAGCGTGAATTATTATATATTGGTCGATTTTCACTTTGAAAGGCTGGCCTGAGGAGGGCAGCCACGGGATAGCAGGATTCAGAGGGAGAGGGAAAGTACCCCTGGGGAATGGTATGAAATCCCTGGTCCAGGAGGGAAGGTGTGGGACATCCTCCCAGGATGGGTGGGACGAGGGAGAAGAGGCACACATTCCAGGAAGCACTGGGGTCTGGGAACTTCTTCCTCTGGCCACCAGGTGGTGCTGTCAGGCCAAGGCCCAGGCTGTATCTCCCACCCTTTGGGCCTCCCAGCCAGCCTGGGGCGAGGAGGGGGTGAAGCAGAGGAGCCTGTCACCCCCAACCTCTCCCTGGGGGCTTTTCTGTCTTGCAGACGATGAGTCTCCAGGACTCTATGGCTTCCTTCATGTCATCGTCCACTCTGCCAAGGGGTTTAAGCAGTCAGCCAGTAAGTACCCCTGACCACCAGCCCTGGGAGGAAGCTGGGTGGGCCACTGTTCATCCCGTCACAGAAACTCCCTATGGACCCATTGATGGGGCCTCCCACTGCCCACCTGCTCTGCTCTGGTCTGCCCAGGCTGGGGCCCTGGCAGCTGCCGTGAGATGTGGGGCCAGGAACCAGCTCCTCTAGGTAGGGGCATCATCCCTGCCTTTTGTCTCCATCTCCTCTTCCCTCGCCTACCCCAGGTGTCTGAACTCCTGGACTCAAACCCCACATCTCCCGACTACGAGCTGTGTGACCTTGGGCAAGCCTCTTAACCTCTCCTAGCCTCAGCTTCTTTCTCCATAAAAGGCAATCACACTTGTTAATATTGACCGAAGAGCAGGATTAAATGTGACCATGTACGTAGTGCCAGCACACTGCCACACACGTCCCTTTCGCTCCCTTCTTTATTCCCGCCTACTGAATCTGTGCCGCTTGCAGTGTTTCACAAGCTACAGTTATCCTTTTTCTCTTAATTTTTCTCCCTGTAGGAATACGTGAGTCAGTTAGACAGCTAATAATTTCTCCCCATTTGCCAGACAAGAAAACTGAGTCCCAGAGAGATAAAAGGACTTAACATCACACAGGATCAGACACCCAGGGCTTCTGACTCCTCTCCTCGGCCAGCACCTTCCCACTCCCTTCTCGTTTTTCCCTGGCAGGTGAGGCCTGCCCATTCCTCTCTCTCTGCAATGCACCACGCAGAGGTTGTGCCGTTGACTTGCGAGCAGCCATTCAATAAATATTTACCGTGGAGCCTGAGTTCCTGGGGTAGATCAGCCTCCCTCTCCTCAGGGCAAACCATGGTTACAGCACCTGTCATACTGTTTTGTCACTTAAAATTGGCCTCTCCCACTGTGAGTTCTTAGCGGGCAGGAACCGTGTCTCCTTTATTCTTGGATGAATAGGAGTTCAGAAATGCTAAATGAAGTAATTTCCTTACTGTGTGCCTGGTACCTTACTAGGTGCTGGAGAAAATGTAAATATGGCCCCATGTGTAGACAATGCCTTGTCCTGGTTAGAGCCTTTTCTGTGTATTATCTGCTCTGATCCTCCTGGCATCTTGCCGAGGTCACCGATGTCATTCCCATTTTATGCAGAAGACGCTGAGGCCCCAGGGCTCAAGGGGCTTTCCCAGGGTCCCACAGCCAGGTCACACAAGTGGTGGAGTAGAAAACATGTCTTCCACCCACAAAGCCCACACTCGTCCCTGGAGAGCAGCATCATATTGAGTCTGGCCAGGTCCACCACACTCATCGCTAGGGCTATGCTGCTCGCACCCACGGCCGCTTCCTGTACCCTCCCCAGGCCCATGGGACCCCCTTCTGGGGAGCACTGCCCAGGAACACGCCTGGTTAGTGAATTCTGTAGGGCTGTTACACCCACCCAAGTCTGCGCCCACTGAGCTGGGCCAGGTGCCTCCCATCCGACGGTGCCCACATGTCTCATCCTCCCTCTCTGCTTCATGCTGGCTGGGCTGGGCCTTAGGGAGCAGGCCCATCAGAGTGGTTAGACATGGGGTGAGCTGCTGCGAAATCTCTCCTTAGCTCCAGACGGTCTTCGCCTCCTCCCTCCTGCAGCCCCCTCACCCGCACGCATGTTCCTTCTGACTCTAGGGCTTTTAAGACCTGTGAATCATCAGTGTGGCTTCCTGTCCTAGTGAACTCAATACATCTGCACAGTCAGACCCAGACTGTGGGCACCATGCTCACTCCTATTTCACAAAGGAAAGCACTGAGGCAGAGAGCACGCACCCAGATCAATAAATGATGATGGCCTTTCCCTCCCCTCCGTCTCTCAGCCACCCAGACCCACAACTGATCTGGTAGAGGCTGGGTGCTTTGTGCCTCTGGCGTTGTTCACCTGTTCATCTGCACCCACATCCCCATAGGCTCTGACACCCGGTTTGAGCTAACCTACATCGCACCCAGCTAGAGACAACATGGGGTCAGCTCCACTCTCCATTCTCACAGAGAATGGACCAGCTGGGCAACACCTGGACTGAGCTGCACGTCCATCCTCTGACCTCTTCCCCTCACCCCTTGATTCATGCTGCCTCAAATCCACCCTTCAGTGCACACCTGACAGCTCCCATGGGGGTTGGGGGAGGATCTGCCAGGGTCCGAGCCCCAGAGGGAGTGGATGGATTGGCAGAATCACCTGGGGTGACTGCCGAGTACTGGAGCCTGGTCAGTTGGGTCTCAGGGTAGAGGGGAGAAGATTTTCAGCCTTAAAGGCCATGACTCAAGATGCAAACACAGGGAAAGCTCTCCTTCTCCCCGCAGCCCTCCACCACTTGATGACCTGAAGCACCCGGTGGGTGGCGGGAGCTCCGTTTATTCATCCCCACATAGTCACTGGGTGCCCACTATATGCAAGTCCTGTTCTTGGTACCAAGGGTACACCGGTGACTAAGATAACGAGGCTGTGTGCTGCTGGTATAGTGGAGGGAAGGGAGACAGGAAACACACGGAAAAGAGAACTTTAGTCCAAGTTAAGGGCTAGGAAGAAAACAACAGACTGAGCTTTTGGAATGTGGGGGGCAGTTTTGGTTGTCGCAGTGACTGGGAGTGACTCCAGCTTTCAGCTCCCCCAGAAGCCAAATGCCCTCCAGAGACTCCTACCTGAAATTCCAGTGACACCCTGTTGAGGGACCTGGGATGGGTGGGGGAGGGGTCACTCTTGAGTTAGTGTGGTTGGTGAAGCTGTGGCATGATGCCTTAGTGGTAAGGAGGCAGCCAGGCAAAGATTGGGGACGAAGGGACAGCAGGGCCCCCAAGTGGGGAGAGCTGGGCACGTTGAGGAGGTCAGCATGGCTGGAGGGTGGTGAGTGAGCTTAGAGGGGCAGTGCCATCTAAGAGGAGGGCAGAGAAGTAAGTAGGCACGGGCCAGACGCATAGGGCTGTGGGGAAGGGCCACCCTGCGGGGGTGTTGGGATGGATAGATGTGTCTATTCCCTCCTGAGTTCCTGGGCCTCAGGCCTTAATGTGTCTCTGCCTGTCTCCCCTGCAGACCTGTACTGCACCCTGGAAGTGGATTCCTATGGCTATTTTGTCAGCAAAGCCAAAACCAGGGTATTTCGGGACACGACAGAGCCCAAGTGGGACGAGGTGAGTGGAAGGGGGTCGTGTCCCCTCAGGGACCCCTGAGCTTGTCACTGACCATGCCCACCCCACTCCCTGTGCTTGTGTCCTGTTGGCTGGGGACGGTTGGGCCCGCTCCGGTCCTCTAAGCCCTCTGCCCTCCACCCATGCTCATTTAGCTGCTGATCTCGTGTTTGTATCCAGACACGGGGTTTCAGCTCAGGCCTCAGACCCCACTTCGTCAGTGATTTGGAGGCCTCCGAAGCCCCAGAATGTGAGGAAGCTCCCCCATGCCTTGTGATGTGGCCTCATGGGCCCTCCTCACCCACTTCTCACCCTTGCAAAGTTGGAGCCCTCACCTGCCGGGAAATCATGTCTCCCAGTTTCAGGACCCCTTGTTCCATTTCCCCCCAGGAGTTTGAGATTGAGCTGGAGGGCTCTCAGTCCCTGAGGATCCTGTGCTATGAGAAGTGCTATGACAAGACCAAGGTCAACAAGGACAACAACGAGATCGTGGACAAGATCATGGGCAAAGGGCAGATCCAGGTGAGGGCCCAGATGCTGCCAGGGCACCAAGGCAAGGCTCGGGGAGCTGCCCGGAGGTGGTTCCACTTGGGAAGGTGTCCTTCCCACCTTCCTTCTTGGTCAAGGGGCTTGGCTTTTTGTTACTCGGGCGCAAAGCTGGTTTGAGAAGAGTTCCGCAACGTGGTGGTTCTCCTCTGTTGGAGATGGCATCTCAGCCTAGCCCCAGACGCCCATGCATGCCTGGTTCCTTGGGCTTCCACACCTGGCTGAGGTGGATCATTCACTCCTGCAGGATCAACTAGAGGGATGACAGCGACCTTTGTTTACACATCCCAACTCTAGTCTACTGGTGGCTTCTTCTGGGAATACTGCGTTGAGAGGGTTTCTGAGGCTATATCCATAAGTGCTGTGTTTGATTAGCAATGTCTGCCCTGGGAGGTATTAGGCCCCAGCTTTTGGCTGGGCTTAGGACCTGGCTGGGTTGCTGGGGGCTGGTCTCTGACTTGTAGCTAGGGTTGCTGGGCCTACTCATTTGTCCCTGGAGTTCATTGGCTTAGGATGGGTTCTGTGGGTATCGGTAGAGGCAGGTTCTGAGTCAGTGTAAGAGTGTATATGCCGCAGCTATATTTCTTGGTACCCTGTCAGTATATGTAGGGAAAGGGCCCTTGTTTGCAGCCTGTGTCTCTGGAAATTCTTCCAGTTTTGAAGATGGCTGCTTATTCGTTTATCTGTCAAGAGGACGCAGGTGTGAGCAGCCATGAAGCCATCCCCACTTCATCTGGCACCGTGTGTGGCCTCGTGCTTATGACACAAGTGGCCTGGTTTGGGGTGCAGTCTGTAACCATGAAATCAAGGGAAACAGTAACTGGAACGCGCTGGGACTGAGCCATGGGCTTATTAATAATTGCCCCAGATGGAATCTGGGTGTAGAAAGCTGAACGCTTTTTTACAGGAAGCGTTTGTTCTCTGATGCATTGTTGAGGCTGCCGAGTTTGGTATCTGGCTCTTGGCTGGGTGTTCTTGGTAGCACTGCCCCATGGAGACCCCTGAGGGCCTCCTCCCCCTACTTGACTCAGGCTCCAGTGTTTGAACAGGGGACGGCACCATTCGCTGGGGTCCTGGCCACCTGCCTCATGGCACCTCGAGTTCCTGAGCACATTTTTTCCTAATGCTGTGGGACCTGCACCCCACTCTAGCACTGTCACCAGGGAGATGGTGTTGCCAAGCAACTGCAGGCCGGTCCTTCGCTATTTTATTCATTCCTTAGGAAATGGGGGTTGATGAGCGAGCGTTCTCTAAATTCAGTCCCAGAAACCTACTTCCTGAGGGGGTAAGGAGTGGGAGCCCCAATTCCATCTTCCTGAGCTGGCCCAACCGGCCTCAGGAGATATCTAGCTAAGAAACATAAACAACTGCCATGCTCCCGGGGTCATTGATGGTTGTGGGGTGGAAGAGCTTGAGTATCCAGGGCAGCCAGCTCAGTGAGCACCAAGGGTGCTGACCCCCACACCCTCCACCCCCGAACCCAGATTCCACGGCTCATGGCATTGTCCCACCTGGGCTTCCAGCCCTGTTGCTTCCTCCTTCTCACTTCTGTCAGCCGCACAAGCCCCAGGGGAAACACACCATAAATCATTGCATCTTGGAGACAGGAGCATATGGAGGCGGTGGGGGGAGGGGAGGAAGCCAGGTTATGTTTGGCAAAGAGGAAAGCAAGCACAGTCTGGTAAGGAAAATGTTTCTGTGTTTAAGCTTCGAGGAATGTTAAATGCCTGGGAGTTGATATTAAAAGAAACACAAACCTTCTTGCTGCCAGCTGACCTGGGCCTGTGAGCAGCCAGTTCAGAGCCAGCATCCTCCGGAGGGCTTTGAAGTCTCCCAGCCCTCAACTACCCAAGGCACAGCCTTGGTGCAGCCCTTGGCCCTCAGCCATGGAGCCGTCTCACTGGCCTTCCTAGGAATTGGGGGGAGGGGGTGCGGGTGTCCTCGCCGGGGGTGTGCCGTGCCTTGTAAAGTCCCACTCACCCTGCCCTTGGAGACACTGAGGATGACCAGGCTGGGAGGAAAGCCCGCACTGGGCCATTCCCACATGGCCAGGCCCCGCCGAGCCATGGGTTGGTCTGTTCCCACAGCTCACAGCCACCTCCCTTCCTGCGATGTGTCCACGGAAGGAATTGGCACCAGCCTCTGGTACTTGGTTCTGCTCGCCTTCAGTAGACACTAGGAATGGAGCTAAAAGTGGCCTGGCAAAGAAGCCGAGTCCTTGGGGATGTTCAGGTGGCCCGAAGGAAAGGCAGGGGGAAGTCGGGCCGTTCCATTTGCCCCTCCCCCTTCTTTCTAAGCCCCTTCTGGCTCAGCCCCGCCAGAGACAGCAGGCATTTGCTCCAATATGAGTCTTCCTCTCTGGGTTTGCTTGATGTGGAGTGGGGGCAGGGAATTGGGAGCACCAGGCTGGGGCCGGGGGTGGGGGTGGGGGAAGCATTTAGTGACAGACAAATGGCAGTGCTAACTACCAACATGTGCGTCCAGCTCTTGTCCTCTTGGAGGCCCATTCCCAACGTTACCTCGTGACCCTCACAACAGCTCCGCAAGGAAAAGGACAACTGTGTCCTCCCCAGTTTACAGATGAGGACACTGAGGCCCAGGTGCCTCTGCTGACAGTGCACAGGGAAGGCCATGCTGTCTCCCCTGTGCTGTGTTCCTGTGTCCCAGGCCTTCATCAGGGAATCTCCCAGCCTGGGTGAAGGGCCCTGGAATGGCTAGTGGCCTAGAGGAGGAGCCAGGGTGATGTTCCACCCCAGTGCCCTGCTTTGTGGCATAAGGTGAGCCTCAGGCTTTCCCCGTCTGGATTCCTCTTACCTCTGGGGGAGGTAAATATCCAGGGGGCATTTCTGCCAGGTGCACCTGGAGGGAAGCATATATGGAAAAGAGCGGGGGAGCAGGGAGTTACTGTGCTTCTGCCATGTGACCCCCACAGACTGGCTGCCCCCGGGGGCCTAGGGGCCTGGCCTCAAGAAATCTGCCAGGGGTGACCGGTTAGCTCGGTTGGTTAGAGCGTGGTGCTGATGACACCAAGGTTGCCCGTTCGATCTCTGCATGGGCCACTGTGAGCTGTGCCCTCCCTAAAAAGAGTCAACTATGCCATTGTAGCATGAAAGCAATGTGTAACCAATGACCACGGCTGTTCCCCAATAAAATAAAATAAAATAAAATAGAAATCTACTGCCAGATTTGAAGACAAGTATATCAGTATATGCCAAGCCACTAGAGAACAAGGCAAGATGGCAATAAAGATCATTGTGATTACATCTGAGAGCTGACTGTGAGCCTGGACTGGTGTTCACAGCATTCTCTTTCGGGATCTTCAGAGTACTCTACGGGGTAGGAAAGTTATCACAGTTTTAAAGATCAGAACGCTGAGGCATAAAGGATTAAGCTACCTGTCCCAGACCAGGCAGCCAGTGGGCAGGACAGCCAGGCCTGGAAGCAGGCTGCAGTCAGAGCCTTCCCTGGGTGTTTTCCTGTCTTCCACCGTCCCGTACATAATAAGACGGAAACTTGTGCTATAGGAATTCAAAGAAGGGAAGAGCCTCATGGGCTGGAGTTAGGGAGGCGTCCAGGAGGAGGCAAAGCGAGATGGATTTGAGAGCACTGGGTTTCTCAAATTCCAAACGTGATGTTTATATTAGAGACAATGGCAAGAATAGTAGAGAGACTTCAAACTAAATCACCAACTATCTCACTCCTGTGAAACAGCCATTTTATTGGTGCCTTTTTCCTTCCTCGGGCATACACATTTTTATATAGTTTTTGTTTTGTTTTGTTTTAAGATTTTATTGGGGAAGGGGAACAGTGTTGGGGAATTGCGGAAGGGGAACAGCCAATTGTTGTCCTTCAATCTTAGTTGTGGTGGGCGCAGCTAGCTCAGCTCCAAGTCCAGTCGCTGTCTGGCCGCCTGTCAGCAGCTCGCAGCTGCTCAGCCCAAGGTGCCATGTTCAATCTTAGTTGCGGGTGGGCATAGCCCACCATCCGCTGCGGGAGTCGAACCGGCAGCCTTCTTGTTAGGAGCACGTGCTCTCACCAGCTAAGCCATCCTGCCACCTGTTGGCAGCTCAGCAGCAGCTCAGCTTGGGCGCAGTGTCACTGGCCCATGTGGGAATCAAACCGGCGACCCTGTTGCTCAGAGCTCGCGCTCTTAACTAACTGAGCCACTTGGCCACCCCTTTTTATATAATTTTCATTGCAGTGCGTAGTTTGTATTTTTTCTATTTTCATGTGGTATTATCATAAACCCCCCTTTTTTTCTATGGCTCTATGTAGTCTTTATAATTACCTTTTTTGTCACATTATTAAAAGTACTTCATGTACTTTATAAGTCGTTTTCTATAACAGCACATGAATTGCCATTTTGAGGGTGTGTGTTATTCTAGCAAGGTGGCAGGCTCTGAATCAGCAGAAAAGAGAGGGCGGGCATTGGGGAGGGGGGCTCAGGGCCTAGAGCAGGGAGGCAGGAATGTGCAGGAGTGTCCCCGGAAATGAGGAGCTCGCCTGCCCTGAGCAAGAGGGGTTGGAAGCAAGAAAGTAAGAGGGAGAGTGAGGGAGTGCATTAAAGAAGAGGATTTGTAGGGGTTTAGACCAGAAGGAATCTTAGAGGGCACTTAATTCAGTCTTGTTTTGGGAGGAGAAGAAAACAGACCAGAAAGGGTGAATGACCTGGCCACAGTCACACAGCTCAGTGGTTGAGCACAGGCTCCATATTCAGGGACCAGATCCCAGGTTGGTCACACATGGTCAGCTGCTGGGCAAATGAGTGAATAAAAATGCTCATAGATGGGGTGGGGGCAGACGAGGGTGTCAGTCTGTGACTCCCAGGGGTCTGTCCTTTGTTGCTGCAAATTCCGTGGAAGATCCCACCAGCTTGGTGCATCTCTCCTCTTCTAGTCCTACCTTTCTTACCCAGACCTCAGGGGCCAGTACCTCCAGTCTCCATCCAGGCCACCCCCACTGCCCACTTCCTCCTT